TCTTCAGGCGGCCATTCAACTTCAAAGGAGAGCCATTCGATGGTGCAGAGGGCCTGGAGGCCAGTCGGCTTGACACAGAGTCCAGACGCGTTCAAAGCCGTTTGTTTGTAGTCCTGAAAATTACTAAGAACTAGATCAAGGGGAGCTGAAGATGATGAGACTTTCTGGCCCATTGTGGGATAAGCTTCAAGAAAAAAGAATATAAGGAGATGAATGAGAATGAGAAGTAGGATGGAAAGTCGATAGACGAGGCGGAGCGCTGAGCAAAGGGTGAGGACAGTATGACATGGCGGGTCCCTAGAGGGAGAAATGAAAATCTCACAGCATGTTGAGTCAACCGAGAAGGCTGCCCCTGTCCCTTCCCCAAAAAGATTTGGCCAGCCTGGATTCCACGTCAGACTCTACCAGAATCTTGCATCTGGCCTGCCCAGATTCCACGTTGGGCTGGGCCAAGACTCTGGGTTGGTCCTGCCTGGATTCCACGTCAGGCTGGAGCACGACCCCTTATCGGAGGAGTTGGGGTGTCCCCCACCTTGCCTGATCTCCAAGTCCCAGGATGTCCAGACTACCCAAAAGTGATGGGGGGGGGGGCGGCCTGGACTACCAAAAAGCAAAAGAGAGAGAGAGAGATGAAAGCAGGCAGAACTACCAAGGCCGGCTCCGGTGGCACTCCCATGGGTCTGGGGTCTCTAGTCTCGAATCCCGGATGAGCCCCCAAAATGTTAGGGTTCGCGAATTGAGAATCATTCCCACAGATACCCAAAAAGATCATACAAAAAGTTTATTCAAGAATTTAAAGTTAAAAAAAAAACAACAGCCAAATGGCGGCTAGCCGGGCACAGACTACACAAGCCAAAGATGGAGTCTGGCCCCAAACAATAGCAGGCAGGGGCTTTTATTAGGGAACTCCACAGAAACCCACACCCAAGCATCCTTTTAAAATAATTGGATGTCCCAATATCCTGTGTACGGGGGAAGTCTTGATTGGTAGGGGCTGTCTTCAGGGCATTGGAATGTGCTGACTGATATCTTTTAGGACCAGAAGTTTTTGTTCAGACCTTATAAGGCTTTTACATGTCCAGGGCTTGCTTAATTTAGAGCTTCCCGGGGGTGGGGGTGGGGTAGCAACTGGAAAAAATTTACAATATGCCTGAGCTTGTCTGGGCTTGTCTAAAGAAGCTAGCCAAAATGGAGTCAGAGCATTCTGGCTCTTCAGTTGGATCCCCTGGAACTGGAGTTATGGGTGGTTGTGAACTGCCATGTGGGCGCTGGGGAATAAACCCAGGTCCTCTGCAAGAGCAGCCAGTACTCTGAGCTGCTGAGCCATCTCTCCAGCCCCAGAGATGCTGTTTTCCAAATCTTAAATTCTCTCCACAACAGTTTCTTCGGTTTCAGCCCTGTTAAGGAAAGCAATCATAAAAGGCTTCACCTTAATCATGCAGCGTTAGTGTGACTCCCCAGTGTTAAACTGTTAAACTCTTTTTACTTTTTAGTGTATTATAGAGTGTCGGGAACTTAAAAAAACTTTAGAAGAGTATAACAAATCCCCATGTATCTCTGCCTTAGCATACACCAGTCCTCAGCCATTTTTTTTTAGCCACATCTACTTTACTTCTTCTGTAATACTTTCCATATGTAAGCATTTGGGTATACATCTCTATGATATGTTTATATTTATTTTTAAAAATCTGAAA